CATTCGCTTCAACCATTTCAGTGTTATAATTCGTTCAAGAATATAGTGTCTGGTGCCGATTTCGCGGCATTTGAAGTGTTTGAGCATTTCGTTATTTCAAGTTTACAGAAACGTATGGTTGCAAAGTTTTCTATTACTCTGAACAATTTCAGTGTCAACATTCCTTCACGAATTCAATGTTGGTTTTCCCTTCTTTCGTTACCCTGGCTTGGCTGCTATGTTCGCGCTCTTTGAAGTTTTTGAGCATGTTGTTCTTCGAGTTTGCAGGACCATGTTGTTGTACAGTTGTCCATTTCAGTGTCCGAGTTTGTTACAGAATTCAATGTTGATTTCCCATTATGTTTTGTTACTTTGGCCTGGCTGCCGTTTTCGCTTCATTTTGAAGTGTTTGGCCATCGAGTTTGCTGAAACATACATGTGCAAAGTTTGGTATTCATTTCAACAATTTCAGTGTCAAAATTCATTCAAGAATTCAATTGTGGTTTTCCGTGTTTCGTTTGTTACTTCGGTTTGGCTGCCGTTTTCGCGTCATTTCAAGTTTTGGGGCATTTTATTATTTCGAGGTGGAAACGTGATTTGCAAACTTTGCATTAATTTTGAACCATTTCAGTGTCGAAATTCGTTCAAGAATTCAGTGGTGGTTTTCCCATTTCTTGTTGTTGCCTTGGCCTGGTTGCCCTGCTCACGTCATCACAAAAAATAGTTCTATAGTGTTTCGTGGCTGCTAGATTGTATGTCCGTTTTTGTTTGCCGATTTGTTTTTGTTTCAAGAAGACAGCATTTCATTCGGCGCGAGTTGAATGGGTATTATCGCTTGAGTTTTTATTTTGTTGATTGCTGTAGACTTCAAGGGTTTGAAGTACCGGATTTTTTTGTTGCGTTGTTGGTGCTATTGGATTCTCATGTTTTGATTTCAGTGTTCTCGTCTCGTTTTAAATTGCGATGTGTTGTAAGATTGGTATTTCAAAGAGTTTGGTTATGATTGTTGAGGCGTTCTCATAGGTTTTTCTTACAGTACTGACGATGTTCGGAAATATTAGGTTTTGCAGGAACGCTATTGTTTTCAATTGTTTTTGTCGCGTTATTGTTTTTGTTATGCTTGCTTCTTTAACGGAATCATAATTTTCCGGAGTTTTTGTGTTCCGGCATTTTGTTCGCCACAGGTTAGGAGTTCCATCCACGGTGAAAAGTATGATATTGTTTTTGATTGGTTTAGGAATTTGTTCGGCAGAAGTTCGCGGGTTTGTTCGCGGCCAGGAATTCAGTGGTTTGTTTTTTTGTTATTCGGGAATCTGTTCCGCAAAAGTTGGGGCTTCGTTCACGGCCAATAATTCAGTGGTTTATTATTTTATTTTCTTCGGGAAGTTGTTCGGCGAAAGTACGCGGGTTTGCCGCATCGTCCACGCGCAACAGTCGCCGCTTCGACAGCAGCCGGTAGGTCCAGTTGGGCGACGTCCTCTGGGCACCCACCTCTAGGCACCCAATCTGGACCTCGCCTTCGTCCCCAAGCGAGCCCAATAGGGCCGCAAGAGGGCCCCGAGGACATTCCAAAAGGGTTACAGCGGCCCCAAGACAAGCCTTGGGGTGGCCCAAGATGCCCAGAAAATCAACTGGAGTGGAGCATAAAAACGGCCGTTTCAGATGCTCCACTTCGAAGGCCCATGCGGGGCCCAAGAGAGTCCCAAGAGAGGTCCACGTTGGGCCCAAGAGGGCCGCAAGAGGCCACCAAGAGGCCTTCAGACTGGAGCATCTGGAAGGGCCGTTTCAGATGCTCCAGTTGGGGGGGCTCAAAGGGCCCCAAGAGAACCCCATGAGGGCCGCAAGAGGGCACTGAGGGCGCTCCAAGAGGGTTCCAAATGCCCCAAGACAAGCCCTGGAGTTGCCCAAGACGGCCCAGAGGCCAACCAGAGTGGAGCATTTGCAACGGCCGTTGCAGATGCTCCGCTTCGAGGGCCCATGCGGGCCCCAAGAGAGCCCCAACGGAGGGCCAAGAGAGGCACAAAAGAACACTAAGAGGCCACCAGCAGGCTTTCAAACTGGAGCGCATGCTTGGGCTTAGGAGCACGCGCAACAGGAGAGAGAGAGAAGCAGCAGCAGCAGCAGCAGCTGCAGGAAGGAGGCGCAGGCAGCGCAACGCATGCGGCCAGGATTCGACAGCCGCGCTTCGCGGCTCCCGGCCCCCTCAGACCGGGGCGGGGCCGAAGGCGGTCGTCGGCCCGCGGTGGGCCAGGCGCTGGGCCCGACAGCCCGAAACGGTCGGGCCAGTGCGGCCACAGCGGGGGGCGTCGGCGTCCGGGGTCTATTCCTCCTCTCTCTTTCTTTCCCCTCCTCTCTCCTCATCCTCCTCCGCGCCCCCTCCCCCCTCTCCTCCCCCTCCTCCCTCCTCCCTCCCCCTCACTCCCGCCTCCCTTCCCCTCTTCCTCACTCCCCTCCTATCCCAGAGGGAATCCTTCTGACGCCCCCCCCTCGCAGAAGCGAGCGAAACGCCCTCCCGAAGAGGCGAACTGGGCGAGCAAATCGGGCGAGCAACAAAAAAAGGGGAGAGCAAATCCAGAAGAGCAAAACAAACATAGGAAAACGTGGATTTGGTGGAGAGCAAATGTTGTGGGTTGGATTGGGTGCGGTTTTTCCCGACGGCGCGCGCGGACAGGCGATTTGCTCTTCCCTCAGGGAACCCGGTTTGACCTCTTCAATGTTTGTTTTCCCCACGGCGTTCCCATTGAATGCCCCCTTCCACTTGCCTGCCCGCCCAACCTGGAGCAACGAGAAAACAGAGGGAGCATTTTCGCAGCCTGCTAACAATGATAGTTCACAGCATCGGGCGCCAGGCACGAAACCCGAGGACATTCCCAGAGGTGGGCTCGTCATTGGGCAAAGCGAAGGCCCAGTCGAGCCAGGCCTCCTCCTCCACGACTCCGCCGTGCTCCGCTTCGCTGACGCCCTGCTCGAGCGAGCCGCTGTCGACCCACAGCCTTTGATAGTAGGACAGCTTCTTCACCCATGCCCTCGCGATCATGCGACAAATGCCTTCCTTCCCCATGTTGACAACTGTCGTCGCGGGGGGCCTCGTCCTCACCTGCCTGTCAAGCCTCCTGCCGCGACGCGAACGCCCCGGGGCATTGCTTCTAGGCCATTAGTTCGTCCGCCCGTCGACCTTCAGAGATCCTGTTTAATCCATCGGCCCATCGGCCCACCAAGCCGCGAACCGCACGACGAACGCCCCGGCAGATCCCGTTCAACTGACCAGCCAGTGAAACCACCGGCCTGCGACCCATCAAACTAACCTTCCTTGGGATCTCGAGCAGAGCGCGGGTCCGTCAGCCCACGGACCTGCATATGTCCTTGTCTACCCGTTCCATCAGCCCGCCGACGCGCGATCCTTACCTCAAGCAGGCCTGGACATGTCGTTCATCCCGTCAGCCCTTCAACCCACCGACCCGCGACCCACAAAATGAGCGTCCTTGGAGAGCTCGTTCGCTTTATCGCTTCGTCAGCCTACCGACGTCAGACAATCTGGTCGACCCAGCAATCCGCCAGCCCACCGAGCCATAGCCCTTACATCGATAATATTCGGATGCGTCGTTCAACCGATCGCCCCGCGAGCCCGCCGGCATGCGACCCACGCAGCGAGCGTGTCAAGTTCTTTCCAATCAGGCGAAACATTCCTTCTGCGCACTGGCCCCAAACTAAGCATCTGTAGACACTGCGTTTAACATAACTCACTCACTTCCGAAGAGCGGGCGTCAGATTCAAAGTTCATGGCACGCAAATCGCATGCAGCAATCTGGGGCTCGCATTGCACAGCGGCGCCTCGTTGTCAAGTGCTTGACATTCAGGACGACGTCCGCGGCAGACATGTTCATTATTGCGCTTTGTCTCTTGGGCCTCTTGGGGGCTCCTGAAAGCCCTTCGGCCAACGTCCACAGTCTAGAGCGCCTCGAGCGAACGAGCAGTGCCGCCGAGCGAGCAGCCGAGGGAGCTCCGCTCCGGCACGTCCGCGGGGGACCAGCCCGTTCGGCCGCCGAGTGTGCCCGACCTTCCCAGAATCGGCGGGGAGCCCAGGGGGGGAGTGAGAAGGAGAAGGCCTCCTCGGAAGGCTCGGAAGTCCCCGTGCCTGCTGACAAGTTTTCTAAGCCTTCCCCGAAGACGCAGAAAGCCTTTCAGAAGGCGCGAGGGTTTCTCAGAAGTCCCGTTTTCTTCTGAGAAGACCTGATCCTTCTCACTTCCCCCCCTCACTTGCCGCCGACAGAACTCGGACGTCGCGAATTCGTTTACAACGTGGACCCTTGGAGGTCTGGGCCCCTTCCCCGTGACCGGCTTTTCATCCCAAGCCGTTTCTGTGTCCGTCTTTGGGCCTCGACCTGTGATGGGCTGGGAGCCCGAAACCGGCCGAAAACGCCCGATGCGAAACAATGCGACGCCCGGATCTCAGGGCCCACGGGTGAGCTTTAGTCATGGACTTCGCCGGGGCTGCTGCGTGACGGCGCGACAGCGCGCCCGCCCGTTCCCGCTGGACTCTGGCGTGTCGTTGCGCGCACGCCTGCGGCGCCGAAAAGTGCGCGTGGCTTCTAGTTGCCCTGACCTCTGACCGTGGGAGCGCTGAGCCGAGGCATCACGTGGGCTCCGCTTCTTGGGCCTCCAGGTAATTATGTTCTCGTCGCCTCTGCTGGATTCGCCCCGAAATCCTTGTCAGAACGCACCCTGGGAGAGGTCCAGGGAGCGGTATCGGTACCGTTGGGTTTCCCCCCATGAGCGGCTCAGAAAAACGGGGCCGTCTTGGCTGACCTCTGCGCGTAAGGTGCCCGCGTAAGGTCACGCGCAAGCGCCCTCTTCTGCACGCGGTACGCCACGCTGGCGGTCCGTGTACAGACGAGTTGGATTACCAGGTCGATCCTGTCAAATCAAAGGTACCCTCGTGTCATTTGTTCAGCGATCCATGCCTGTTGCATTTCCATGGCCATGCTGCCCTGGGAGAGGTCTTGTGTCTTCTCTCGTGTCCCCTCCAATCACACTCGACTGCAAGCTGCGGCCCGTCTTTGATCGCCGCTCACGTCTCGCTCCACCCCGACCTCGAGCCCGTTCCGCGGCCGAGCGCGCTCGAGGGCGGGGCCTCCTCGGGGCGACCGAGGCGCTCGGCGGCGCGCCGCGCGGCCGCTCCCGAGGAGGGCGCCGGCCGCCCCGTCGAGGAGCAGGTCCGCCGCGCCGCGGAGGACCGGCGGTCGCTGCGGCTGGGCGACATGTCGGAGGAGGAGAAGAAGGACACAGGGCTCGAAGTTCGAGGTGCGAGGTGTGGGAGCGCTCGCACGTCGGTTCTCGGCTGTTCTCCAGCCAGGGGGTGCCCTCCAGCAGGTGAGCCTCGCCGAGAGAGTTCTGGGGGTGCACGGATGGTCCCGACTGGCTGCCGTGGACCCGGGCCATGGCCCGAAAGCCCACAGGGGAGGCGGGAGGGCGATTTGTCGGACCAGGAGAAGAAGTACAGGCTTTTTCTTCGATCCTCCCTCCTCCGTTCTCCTCTTCCTCCCCCGCCCTCGATCCCCCTCCACCTTACTCCTCCCTCTCCCTCGGCCCAAGCCGCTCAGACTGGGCCAGACGGTTCAGGATCGTTGCTTTGAGCGTGTTCGGGAGAGGCTTTCGGGGCTCCCTTAGGGCGTTCCCGCCGCCACGGCTGGATCCAGGAAAGGACGCCAACCTTTGTCAGGAGGGAAAAAACACACAGACACAATGAATCGTCGATTCCCCAGAACATATGGGAAGATATGGGATGTGGGGGTGGAAGAGAGAAACCCAGAAAATATTGGAAAATATAGAGAATCTTGCTACGTGTGTGTATTCAATTGTGTGTCCCAGGGCCCCTTCACTTTGCTCGTCGTGAAACAATCCGGATCTCCAGCTCGGCCTCTGGAGGTCCGTCCTCGGGCCCCCGGGGCCATCGGGAAAAATGCACCCGGGGCGAACATTTATCCGTGGGGTTGCGGCCTCAAACAAAAATTACACGGTCGTCAGAAAAATTGGTTCGGGCTGGAAAGCTGGCCCCAGGGGAAGGGCTCCGTGGACTTTGGGGGTTCACGGTGTGAAAAAATGCGCGGCGTCGGTCGGCTACGCGCAGAAGGGGAGGAGGGAATGTTTCTTAGAAGCATCCGTGCTTCTTAGAAGGCGTGGGCCTTGTCTGTAGATGTCAGGCCAACGCCTTTAAGAAGCAGCCTCTTTCTACGAAGCCTTCCCACCTCCACCTACCCCCTTGTGCGCGCGGCCAAGTCGAAGTTATGGGGATCCAGGCCGCCCCGACGAGGAAGAGGTGCCGATACCACTGTCTTTCCCTCGTCGCCACTGCCTGATCCGCCTCGGCATCCTGGTCAGAACGCGTCTTCGGAGAGGTTCAGGGAGCCGCGGCGTCGGTGCCTATTTGTCCCCCCAGTCCATGCCTGCCCAAGTGGGGTCCGAGCAGACGGGGTCGGTGGATCACGCCGCATCGCCGATGCACCAGCGTCGTGGCACGATCGGGAGCGCGAGGTGGCCCCCTGCCCGCGCGGCCGGTGCGTCTGCGTCGCTGCGCGATCCTCCGGCCGAACCTGCCCTATTTGGGCGGCGGCCTCCAGAGGAGCTCGCCGACAAGATGGACTACCTGGCTCCGTACAGGAGTCTCGTAAACATCATAGGCGGTATTTTGCTGTTCGCTTCGTTCCAGGACGTATTCTTCATATGCCTGAATTTAGCCAGGAAGATCCATTTGCGCTGCGGCGCCTATCCGCCACCGCGCCGCCGGGGAGGGGAGGCCAGGATGATAGGCGCAGGGGGGGATGCATGGACCCCCAGCCGCCCATAGATCGTCGGCAGGGGCCCGATAGCCCACCCAGCCCAGGGACGTGCGGATTTTCTATCGTGGACGAATCGCCAATCGATCGGCGATGTATCGCCGATGCCAGGTCGATGTTCCTTTCCCTCAGCCAGTCCCTCCCCTTCTTGTCTTGGCATCCTTCGGGCACATGCCTTTTTTCTTGGCGAGGACCATCGACGAGCCTCGTGGATCATCGAGCCAAAAACGCATGGCGTCGAAACATGCAGCGGGAATGCACGTCCGAGCGCTGGCGGGCTGATTGTCGGCCCCTCAGGAGGGGAGCTTTGAGCCTCGGTGGGGGTAGCAGGAGGGAAGCCGGGCGAGGAGGGCCCATCGGGCGCCCCGGCATAATCAGGGGTTTGTCTCTGGCCAAGTGTCCGCGGACGACTTGTGTGCGCCGTGAAGCGTTGGCGCTTTCCGAGGCGTCGTCGAGCTTCGATCCAGGAGTGGCGCGATGCATCGTGCTGTTCGGCCCCTCGGGGCCGAAAAGCCGTGCACCGTGCCGCGTCGGGGCCCGAGTCCACGCGCGGTGCGGTGCACCACGGGCGCCGCTCCCGCAGAGCGCGCGCGGAGCTCGGGAGAAGGCGGGGTCCCGGAGTCGCGCACTGACGCGCGTGGGGGGCTCGATGTGCCGTGGCGGGCCGCCACTGCTGCGCCGCGGGGGGCAGGGCCGGCCAGAGCAGAGCAGGGGGCCGGGCGCGCGCCAAGCGCCGCGCACGGCGCGGTGGCGGGTCATCGTGCTGGACACGGACCGGGTCGTGGCGGTTGCGTTCCTGGCCCTGTCTGGGATCGCGCTGCTCTACGTGGGCAACGTGGTGATGGCGGCGCCGGAGGTTCTCGGGGGAGGAAGAGGTACGGATGCCGCTGCACCTGCCTCGTCGTTGCCTCTTTGGGCCTCCTGGGCTCCTGGGGAGGCCCTCGTCGCCACCCCTGGATTCGCCTCGAGAGTCTGGCCAAAACGCACCCTGGGGGAGGTCCGTTGAAGAGCGGTAATGGCTTCTTCTGGTTTCCCCAGGTGCCGTCCATCGACGAGGTGGTGCAGCTGGTCGAGGAGCAGGAAGCCGTCAGGCGTGAGGAGGCCGCGGCATCCGAGGAGGCCGCCAGGCGTGAGGAGGCCGCGGTGATCCCCGCGCTCATCGGGACCTGGTGCTACGGCGAGGGGGGCGCCCAGAGCTACGAGATCGGCTACGACGCCGCCGGCCAGCTGCGCTACAGCGAGACGGTGGCGGGCAAGGCGTACTCGGCCACCTTGCAGCAGATCGGGAGGGGGAGAGTGTTTCATTTTCGCCCCTCTCACGTCCACGTCGCGTCTGAGAAGAGGAAAAGATGCCGATGCCGCTGCTCTTCCCTCGTCGTTACGGCTGCATTCGCTTCGAAGTTCTGAACAGACGTCTGGGAAGTAGCGGTATGGACACCTGTTGGTCCCTCCAGGGGGGGCCTTTTGGGGGTCTCTATGGAGACCTTCGGGGCCTTCTAGAGGCCTCTTGGGCACCCCAGGGGCGGCCTGGTTTGACTCTCCTCGGGGGCGGGGGGGATTGCGGACCCTCATTGGGGGGGCGATGTTTGATTCGTGGCTGGCCCTAAAAACATGTTCGAAACAGACCTCACCGTTCAACAGAAGAGTATTCGAGCACGCCCAACCCGTGCAGGCACGACAGCGCTTACGGCAACCAGCACAAGGATAGAACACGCCTTGTCGGTATAACCCATTTTGTACTGTGTACAGCTCTTCGCTATTCACTTGAGACACCCTAAGAGTACCCCTCAGCAACCAACATAGCATTTACCTTTCTGTATTATCCAAACAGTGCTTGCAAGTAGGAATTCTTCCTTTTGCTTTAAGGAGCTGGGCCTGACGGTCGGTCTGGCGGCTATGTCGTCGCCGTCGCCGCCTCGTCGCCGCCCGTCGTTTGGGCCTGACGGCCGGTCTGGCGCCGTCGCCGCCTCGTCGCCGCCCGCATTGCTTTGAATATATTGCACACCCTAGACTGACCGCGTAGATCCTACCACATCTATTGCACCACGCATGTTGCACAACCTATGTCGCACGACATGGGCTGCAGCAGAAATATTGCACCACATAGGCTCCACTACTTAGATTGTTCAACCTATTGCGCACCACAGATACTGCACCACATATGGTTGCACCACTTGAACCACCACATTGGTTGCACCGCGTAGCTTATCTTACGTAGATTCCCCCTTTAAAAGGAGTGCAGAATTTCCCCCACCCCCCGACTTGACGATACACTTTTTCGCATCGTAGTCTACATGCACGTCTGCCCCATTGTCAAATTGTCCATGGTAACTATGAATTCGGACCATTTCGGCCAGGCAGCTATCGACCCCCTCCCGCCATCCTCTACAGAGAAATACTGTACGCGCCCTCCCGTTGTATCAAAAATAAACCGCTTTCAGTAACCCCAACACATGGGACGACGTGCGCGCGCGCATGCCGGAATCCTGGGATAATCCTCTGGTGCCGCAGGTTTTTTTTTATTTAAAAAAAATAATAATAATAAAAAAAAAAAACAAAAAAAACGAGCATCACGAAACCATTAAATACCACATGGTTTGGTTACGCGAATGTTCAAATCCGCGCTTTTGCAGATTCTTACTAAAAACCATATGTGCTTGCATATGGTTCAGAATCTGCTTCCACTTGGCCTTTCGCGCGCGCGCGTGCCGAAGTCGCTCGAACGCCCTTGCGAGCGCGCTGTCGCAAGAACCCCTTGCAACAAAAAGCGGGATGAAGTGCGCGCGCGGGTCGTCGCGCGCGCATGCCGCACTTTTTTATACAACCCTCGGCTCCGTAAGGATTTCAAACTCGAGCGTTGCGAAAACATATGAACACGCACGGCTTTGCAACATCACTTGTCAGAAAAAATATTGCGCCCGTGCTCGTGCGGATTCTTAAGAAAACCATTTGTGTCCCAACGTGTTCACCAACTTCTGCCAAACGGGCCCTTCGCGCCGCAGGTTGAACTCATTCGAACGCCCATGCGCGCGTGCTGGGGGCAGGGGGGCGCGGTCCGTGTTAAATTTCCACGCGGGCCAATCGCGCGCGTCGGCTGCGAGCACGTGTCGAGCTCCTTTCAACACCTGCATCGCCGATGCGAGGACATCGTCATTTTCGTTTGTCCCAGTTTGGGTTGGATCGGGCACGGGCTTGCGGTGCTGACGCAGTCGAGCGCGGGGGGTAGTGGGGGAATTTGACCATCAGCGCGGCCAGCTTGGGTCACGCGCGCAACGCGCCCCCAGGGGGGGGGGGCCTGCCGGTGGAAGTCAATCATGCACGCGTAGGCGGGAGCGTTTGCCACGCACTGCAGCGCCTGTTCGCGGCCCCCCCAAATGGCATGCGTCGACGACTTCCCCCGCTCCTCGCCACGCCGCTTCGCCGCGCTGCAACAGTGGATTTTCGGTCAGCTGCACAACCTACTCGGCGTCCCGCTCAAGGCCCAGAAGGGGCAGGCCCCCTCGCAGCGGCTCGAGAAGCCTGGCCCGGAAGCAGCCGCAGCAGCACGGTGGCCCGGGCTTGGCCCCATCGAGCAGTGGCGGCCCCAGCTCCTGCAAGCAGCGGGGGGGGGGGGGGCGCTGCGCCTCTCGCTCTCGCGACTGACCGCCAGGAGCGCGAGCCGCCGCGTTCGGCAACTTGGCTTCGGAAACGCCGCGCTCTTCGGCCGCGCGGGCCGCGCCCGCGCCCGGGCAATCAGCTCCCGCAGAGGCGGCTGGACCGAATGAGTCAGGCGCGGGCTGCGCTGGCGGCGCGCGCTTTGGACCGCGCCGCTGCGCTACTACTGGGGCCGCGATTGCAGTTGGATGCGCGCGCGGTCGCGCGAGAAGGCGGCCTACGAGAATTGGGCAACTGCGCGCTCGGGGCCGCGCTGCTCGCCGCCGACGGAGACTGGAGCTCGTCGGCAGAGGCGCCCGCAGACCTGCGGGAGGAGCTGCGCGATATTGGAATGCGGCAGCGAAGCACCCAATCGGATCCACTGGCCGTTCCCATGCCGCTGCTGTCCTGCCCCGAGCAGCACCGCGGCCGCAGCCTAATCCCGCGCGTAGACATCTGGGCCGCGCCCGAGGACGTCCTGGCTGGATCCGCCGCGGATCTCGACGGCCGGCCCCTGGCCCCGGGGATGGCTGCCTGCGGCAGTCTGGCGGATAAACATCTGGATCGAGCACGCGCCCAGCGAGTCCAACCCCGCCGACTGCTTCTCTTTCCCCCGAGAGGGGGCAAAGGCAGACGAGATGCGGCGGCTCTCGGGCACGCGCGGCTAGGTCGCGATTCAACCACGATTGCCGCCCCCCTTGCAGACCGAGCCCGAGACGTGGGCCGCTGCCGCGGCGGACGCCCGCGCACCCCAGAGATGGGCCACGCGCGCCGAGCGCGCGAACGCAGCCGCCCGCCTCGGCGCCACCGACGGCCCCGCCGTCGCCTGCTTGCCGGGCCGGTTGTTGCTGCAGCGCCAGGGCAGCGCGGCGCAGGCCGCGCATTTCCACGGCGGATTGGCACAAGTACTGTGCGCGGCGTTCAAGCAGGCCTACCCTGCGCGCGCGTGCGCGACCATCGTGATGCGCCAGGGCGGGCGGCCTCAATGGCCGCGAGCCGCCGCCGAGTGCATCGCCTGCCTGCGCGCCTGGGTCAACGCGCCCCAACCAGACTGCGACTGGGCCAGCGGCTACGCGGCGCCCTGCAACGCGGATTCCACAACGCTTCTTCCGCATCCCCGTCGGGGGTCGCGAGCTCTGCAGGACAGCGCCGGGCTGGCGCGCTGCGGTTTTCCGCTGCGCGCGGCGCCGCAGGCGGCGCCGCGGCGCGCTGGCGCCCCCGCCGCTGGCAGCGCAGAAGTCTGGGCGGGGGGCTTTGAAACAAAAACTAAAAGAAGGCGCATTCGAGCGTCGAAGGAATTGGTTTTGGGCGACACCTGCCGCGACGACAGCAGGGCGGCCCCGGGCAATGGCGGCGGCGCAGGAGCGCCCCTGGCCTGCCTTGGGCCGCGTCGGTCGACGTGCTGGCGCCGCCTCGCCGTCGCGCGCGCAGGCGCCCCGCCGCCGCCGCCAGCGGCGGTTGGCGGCCCCTCGCGGCAGCCAGAGGGCCCCCGCGACCGCGCCGACGTCGGCTGGTGCGTTCCCGCAGGCGGCGCAGTGCGCATTCGGAGTTTGGCCGACGGCTACGTGGACCCCAGCTCCAGCCAACGCGCCCCGGGTCGCCGCGAGCCAAGGGGCCGAAGCGCATTGTCCCCTCGCGGGTTTGGGGCCACGTTCTTCGGGTGCCCGGGGGCGCGGAGGGGAATCAAGGAGGTCCTCGAGCCAGGCCGACCAATGCGCGGCCGCGGGCGCATTCACTCGGGCGCGGCGACAGCGCGCCCGGGCCCCCCCCCCCCCCAGGCCTGGGCGACGCGCGCGGGGTCACCGGCGGCGGGGCAGGGGGCTCGGCTCAGCATTGTCGCGGCCGGCTCTGGCCTCGCGCGGGGCCCTCGCTGGCCGAGCCCCCGAGCGCGCCGCCGTGCTCGCGCGAGAACGTCGCCTCGGGCGGATGCGTCTGGCGCGCCTCGGGGCGCCCCCCCACCCCCCGCTAGAGTCAGCGAAGGTGCGAGGGAGTAGTCTTGGCCGAGCGCGCAATTGGCAGGGGGAATGCCCGGCGACACTTGCGCGGCGGACCGGGCCCCCTTCCTGCCGTTCCCGCAGTGGTCGGCTGGGCTGCGCCGCCCGTCGCATCGGCAGTCCAGCAACCGCCCCCCTCCCATCGTCCTCCGTCATCGTTGGCCCCCCCCCACCGCTGGGACAGATCCAGATCCAGAGCCGGCGCCCATGGTGCCTCGCCGTGGACCGCCGCGCACGGCGGTTGGGCACGGGCCACTGCGTGCCGGGGCGCGGCTGGGCCCGCGACCGCTCCGCGCTCGGCGGCCTGGGGGCGGGGCCCCAGGAATCGACGGCGCGGGCGTCTCCCGGCGGGGGAGGGGGCGGGCGGGCGCTCGCCCTCTCCCCCCCCTCCCCGCGCTGCAGATGCATGGGCGGGGCCGGGCGGGCAGGGGGCTGGGCGGGCGGGCGGACTGCCTCTCAGTTCGGGCGCGCTCGCGGAGCTCACAGGGCGCGCCTTGCAGGGCCGCCCCCCCCTCTCCCCTCGCGGTCGTGCTCCGTCGGCGTCGTCGGCGGGCGCGATCAACGTCGGCGCCGCCAGTCGCCTGGCCGTCGTCGCCGCCGCCTTCGCCGCCGTCGCCACTCTCGCAATCGCGCCCGCCGCGGTTGGCGTCGGCGCGGGGCCGCGTCCGCCCTTGCCACCGACTCGCACTGAAGTGCCCGCTGGGAAACGCCCCGCGGTCAGCGCTACCGCGGCCGCGGCGGTCGCAACAAACTAGTCGGCCGCTGCGCGCGAGCACGCGCGGGCTGGCGCGGCCGCAGAGACGCGCCAGCCAACGCCAAGCACTCCTCGCAA